TGCTGGGTGAATGAGTGAAGAAGTCAGCCTGCGCCTGTTTTAGATGGTTATATCTGAGTGTCCATGATATGTAGGTCCATAAAACTACCAGCTTCCCAACGCTGCCATGTGCAGGGTGGCAGAAACTTCAACCAAGAAGGCCAGTGCAAAGTCTATGAGGCATTTTACAGCTATGACAGGAAATAGCAATGTCAGCAACAGTGTCATCTCTGGACACTAAGGACAGGGATTCAGTGCCATGAACGGTCAGTTAAATTGTAATTGGAGCGAACTGTTCGTCTGCAAACCATAATGTTCTTTAGCTGCACAGCCAAATGGCATTCAAGAAGGGGAGAGATTTTTTTGAAATGTCAAAGAAATTATTTCCAATTTGGTGCTCACAACCAGAGACTCTAATGATCAGTGGAAATGAGAAGCAAACAAATTAGCACTAATGGAAAATGGCTTTTGGAAAAGAGGATTTAATTTATAGTCAACTGATCATGGCATACAGTATGCAGTAAAAGTCAGCCTCACCAGCTTGATCGTAAGAACCAGAGCACACATGGAATGCCAGAGAAAAATATACGTATGCCATCATGCTTATTGGAATCTCTCTGTAAGTGGCAGCCAATTAAAATAGTCATTATTTTACCTTGGAGAGAAAATGGTCTGAAAAAAATCAAAGCACATGAAATTAAAATCCGGATTAGGAACCACGGTCCAAATTGGTTTGTTTGTGGACTTTTAACCTTGGCAAAGTCTTCTGCAAGGACGACAAACCTACTTTGTCTTCAGCCCAGAGTGGGCTCTTTGTTTTTAATTTCCTTTCCGTTTTCAGAGGTGATTAATAAATCTGGACTCACCCATAAATCATTTCTATAGCAGACAAATGGTTCTTCTTCATGCAGGGAAACTAAGATCACAAAATCTCAAAAACCCCAGCTATTGTACTAAGTCAAAAGTCCTTAGTGACAAATGAGCAGAGGTATTAAAAACCAAAAGGTCACCTGGTCTTGTTTCTAAATAAAATTTCTCAGAGGGCTTTCTTTTCCTAAATCAAAGACACGTTCCTAAAAGCAAGAAGCCTCTAGAGCATGGGCTGCCAGCCTGGCTCCCTGTCCCCAGATGGCCTTGGAGAGAAGGCAGTCACTGTCCCCTGTTCCTGTAGTCTCCATCTTTAGAATGGAATAGAGATCTTCTCCTAGGGCTCCCTTCCCAACTCCTCAGTCTCAGTGCCCCATTCAGAAAGAGAGAGGGAGGGGAAAAGAGAGACAGAGAAAGAAACATTCTCCTTCTGACCTCAGGCCCATCCAGAGGGTGTCCTGGCCTTTTACTTCTCCCTCAGGGCACATGTACTACAGTTTGTCACTTCTTTCTCTCACATTCCCTTCCTTCTGCCACCCATTCATAACTTCTTCACAGAGCCAACCACCCATCACTTCCCTACAGACTCCATGTGCCCCATCTTTTCCCTGGTTTCCTTTCCCTCCATTCTCTCCCCAGAGACCACCTTTCTCCCATCTCCCTCCTATGAAGCCCTCTGCCTTCATCCCCTTGCCAGATCTACCCTCATTCTCTACCCAGACCTCACTTTTCCTCTCCTAGATCACTTCTGCCTCTCTCCTCCGCTCCACACACCTGCCCTCATGCTCTCCCCACAAAACATTCACTCTCTAGGCCAACCGTCATCTTTCTACCCAGAGTCTCCTCACTCCTGCACTGTTCTGTGCTTCATCTTCTCTGACCTGATTTCCTATCCCTCCTTGTGTCCCAGCCTCTTTACTCAGCCCTCAATGGTCTTTGCTCCCAACCAGCAGCCTCCTCCACCCTTAGCTTCTCCAGTTGCTCTGCCTCCCCTCAGCCTGTCCCTAAAGTTGGCTCTAACCCAGGTGCCACTTCTGCAGAGCCCTCCCAGGTAGAGGCTGTTTATATTCTTACACCCCAAAAGTCTCAGGATTGGCAGGGGGGTTGGGGTCTCCTCACCCAAGCCCAACCCTGTTCCTTATTCCACCTCTTTCTTGTAAAAACCCTTGCTCGTTTGAGGGTCATGTTATTCTGCTGTATTGACCATTATCCCTCCTCATATTCATAGCATCACATACAGACTTCAGAACTATGTACTTAATTCATCAAGTTTGGTACCTAGTCCAAAGGGGGTCTGGCCATGTGAACATCTTGACTGCTCTCTGTATTCCACTCCAGCCACCCACTCCCATGGGCTGCTTCCTGGACCTTGCCATCAGCTGGACCTACTCAACCTTCATTACTCCACTTTCTGATCACACCTCTCTCATTCAACTATTTCTAAGATATGGGTTCTTTGACTTCACTGGGACCCCCAGTCCATAACACTTTTATACTCTCTCATGCAGTTTAGGTTCTAAGCTCTAGGATCTTGACCTCTTGCAGGATCATCCACTTCCTTTGTCTTTCCATTTCACCACCTGATGAAACCCAAACCTGGATTGATTCAACTAACCTCTCTGCACCCCCCACCAGATGGCTGAATATTGTTGGGGAAGAATGCCTATCACACAACCATGCACGCTGCTGCTGCTACTATGAATGGCCACTGACCTCATGTCTCATAACTGCGCAGAAATCTGTATGCTGCCTCAGTCATCTTGCTGCTATTCTTCGCTCACTGAGACTACTTTAATCTTTCTTTGCTCTTCTCAGACCTTCATCTCCCATCCCACTCTTACTGCCTGATACCATGTCTCCATTTCACAGAGAAACTAGACACCACCAAACAAGAATTTCCTCAGCTTCCTGCCACCAAACCTACTAATGTACTTATCTCTCATGCTTCCTTCTTGTCACAATGCAAATGTCCCTCTGTTTTTCCCAGTGAATGTCTCCACCAATGCTTTGGATTCCCTCTTATTCCTTTTCTGGGGGTGCTACTTTCTCACTTATCTCTGTAAATTTATCTTTTTTTCCTTTTGCTGGGTCCATGCCAAAAGCATTTCTCTTATCTGAATAAAAACCTTTGTCTCCTTCCAGCTATTGCTTTTTTTTTTTTTTTTTCTCGGAAAGAGCCAAACGTCTTGAAAATGTACTGTACAGTCTTCACTGCCTCACCTTCCCACCCACTTCTCAATTCATTGTAATCTGACCTCCATTCCTATCACTTCCACTGAAACTGCATTTGCAAAGGCCACCAACAACTTCCTTGTTTCTAAATCCAGTAGATTTTTTCAGACTTCATTTTACTTGATTAGTCATCAGCCTTCACTACTTTCCTGCCTTGGCTTCTGAAACACCACACTCTACCACTGATTATCTTACCATTCAGGACACTTCACCTCCACTAACTTTGCAAGTTCATCTTCCTTTGCAGACCCTAGACTTGGGAGCTTCTCAGGACTATGTCCTAGGCCTTCTTCTCTTCTTATTCCTATATATACTCTCTGGAAAGCCCAACAAATCCATCCATCGGTGTGGCTGATGTCTATAAGGCACCACAGACCACCACATTTCTATTTCTCGTTTAGACTTATCTTTTTTTTTTTTAATTTTTAATGTTTTATTTATTTCTAGGAGAGAGAGACAGCGTGAGCAGGGGAGGGTCAGAGAGAGAGAGGGAGACACATAATTGGAAACAGGTTCTAGGCTCTGAGTTGGCGGTCAGCATAGAGCCTGAAGCGGGGCTTGAACCCACGAACCGTGAGATCATGACCTAAGCGAAAGTCGGATGCTTAACCGACTAAGCCACCCAGGTGCCCCTCGTTTAGACTTATCTTGCAAGCTCCAGTCAGGCATATTTCACTGCTGCCTGGACACTTCCATTTGGATGTCCCGCTGGCATCTTAAAACTCATCAGCCCCCAAACTTACCCTCTCCTAAAAACTTTGCTATCTCTTCTTTCTGTTTGCTCAAGCCAGGAATTTAGAAGTCATTCTTCATTTCTCCTACTTGCCCCACGAGGCACCAAGTCCAGTTCTTTTTAGCTCACAAGTGTCTAGGGAATCCATCCCCTCCTCTTCATTCATGCTACCTCTCCATTCTTTAGGCCACCATAATCTTTTCCCATTACTGAAACAACTTCCTCACTGGTCTCCCTCCTTTTCTCAATCCCCAATTCATTCTCTGCATTGATCTTTTTAAAACGCAAACCTGATTGTTACTCTGTTGTATAAAGCCCTTCAGTGACTCTCCACTGTCCTCAGGATAAAGTCTGAGCACTTGTGTTTATAGGTATAAAACACACTGGAAAATGTTTACCATTTACCTATAGACTCAAAGCTGAGCTTGGCATCAAAGTCCCCCCACCCCCACCCCCGGATCGGGGCCTAACTTTTCTTCCAAGGTTATTGTCACATTAGTATCTCCTCTGGCCAGAAGATGCTCAAGATTTCTGGCAGCACCCCTCAGTTTCCCCTCTTTGAGCACCTGCAAGGAGTCCTTTGTCTTCCCTATCTCCACAAGTCTTTCAAGGCCCGGCTCAAGAGGCCTTGCCATCTTTGCCATAAATGCCCTTCAACACTTTCTGAGCCCCTAAAATCCTTAGGGTCTACCCTTCTGTAATATTTATCCCTCACACAGAATTACAGTTGGTTAATGCATGGTTTTTCTCCCTCTCCATTTAAGATGTATGGAAGTCAGGGCCAAAAGCTTAATCTTCACTAGAGCCCACCTACATAACAGGTGCTCAATAAATATTTGTTAAATGCATGGATAAATGCAAGAAAACTGTACTCTCTAGCCCTTTTGCGCCCCCCACGAACAGAACGTTCTCTAGAGTCTCCCCCTAAAGCACCACTCCCCTGCCTACCACTCACCCCACCAACCAGAATATCCCTGAACCAACTGGGTGGAGGATGGGCTGGCGCACATCCTAGGCCGTTTTGTACGGTTTTCTACCTCCAGCCCTCGGAGCTGCGTCTGGTAAAGGATGGTAGAGGTAGATGATGTAAGTCAAAGGGCACTGTCGTCCACCTCGTAGGACAAGACACGATCGGGAAGGAGACCTTCCCATTTCCACAAAACCGCAAATCTCCCGCAGACCCTCTTACCTACACTGGAGGGCGGGAACTCTTTCCGACTGGCGTCGGCTAACCAATACCGAACTCAGATTATGAGAGCCAGCTAATGGCTACGAAGCAGAGACAGAATGGGGCGGGGCATGGTTGCTAGGGCCGACTAGCGCGGTGAGGCGAGAGGCTACAGGACTCGGCGGTTGTTAAGACGGGAGGTCACAGAGCACGGCTCAGGGATTGGGCAGCGACGGGAGAGGTGGGTGGTGATTGGGCGGTGCCCAGGAGGCTCAGGGGTGAGGCGCGGTCGCGCGAGCAGGAGTTCCGGCGGAGGCCCGTGCTGAGGGCTGGCGCCTTCACCATGGCCTCGTCTGAGCTGGACTACACCATCGAGATCCCGGATCAGCCCTGCTGGAGCCAGGGTATGGAACGAGGGTTGGGTCCAGTCGTGGGGAGGTAACCGAGCGAGTGTATGTGTCGCGAGCACAGCTGTGGCTCCGCCCTCTCGCGGCCCCGCCCTCTCGCGACCCGCCCCCTCACGGGATCCCGCAGGTCCCAGACTTTGTCGGGCGCACAGAGCCCCGCCCTCGTACAAGCTCCGCCCCCAGAGTTGTCTTCGGGTCCGAGCCCCGCCCCTTCCCTGCGGCCTGGGCTTTGTTGAGAGCTTTTTCTGTGTTTTCGGTTGGAGGTCTCCCGTCCGTGCCCTCGTTCTCTCGCAGCTGAGGGCTGCTTAGGACAGGGGCTTTCCGGATTCGTTTGTTTGGGGTCAGACTTCCCACTTCCATCCTCTCTTCGGTGGTTGTGGCTGGAGGACCCACCCGTTATTTTCCACGCGCTGTTTTCCCCGGGGGTCCTTGCAGAAACCCGGGACACAGGACTCATCCCTCCCACTCTCGTTCACAGTGGCTACCGAGCAGTCTCTGCTGTCAGGTGCAAGTCGGTTCAGATCCTCCCTTTAGTAGTTGGGTGACCTTCGGCAGATTCCTCATCTGCAAGACAAGGCTACAGATAGTAACCTCCCTCCCAGGACTGTTACACAACTTAGGTAATTTGCATAAAGCACCCAGCATTGTGTCCGGCATGGAGTAAGCATAGTGATTAACATTACTCCTCCCTAGAGTCATCAATAAAGAGAGGTGTGTGGGAGGCTTCACAAAAGGAGTAGTAGCCCGTAGAGCAGGCCTGGGTCCTTGCAGTGAGAGTTGGATTGGGGGCCCAGAGAATGGAAAGTCTGGCCTCCACTGGGAATTTTGACAGAGGAGGCTTGAAGTACTGAGGCCAGCATATCTCTCCCTGCCTTAGTCCACATGGCCTTTCCGCCCTCCAGTCTCACTGCCAGCAGCTCAGCCTCTCATATGGCTACCACAGTGATCTTTCTTAATGTAGAGGTTTGCTCTTAACACTAGTCTGCCCAAAACCCTTCAGTGGCTCCTAATTGCCCACAGGATAAATCAAGTCCAGGTTCCTTAACATGGCATTCAAAGTCCTTCGCAGTTTAGCAGCCCCTGCTTATCGCTTTGATCACTGTGTCCTTCCACTACTGTTCAATTTAAGTTTTATGTTCTGGCAACACAAATTGCTTATGATTCTCCACACACTTCTTGCTTCTCTGCCTTTGGTTCTGCTGTTTCCTCTGTCTGGAATGCCCTTTCCCCTCTGCCGCCGCATACCACCCCTCGCTTGTCCTTGACCATTTCATCATTGAAGTCTTAGCTCAGATGTTGCCTCCTCCAGGAGAGCCTTCCCAAGCCCCCTCCCATAGCATCTGTGTTACTTGGTTGGGGTCTGGGAGGAGAGGGCAGCCGCTAGGCTCCCAAAGGGCAGATGACTCTAGACCAGATGTGTTTCCTTACAGCTGGGTATATTGGCATAAGGCTCTTGGTCTTATGGATGTAAAAAATGCTTTTGAAAGGTTTTGGCATCAGGGGGAGGTGAAACCAGTTAATATTGCCCTTGGAGGGCCGCCAGCCATGAGCAGGGGTGGAGCTGCCTTTCTCGGTAGGCAGATGATCTCTCTCAGCCTACGTGGGCAGCCTGCTGGTCTCGGTTCACAATTCACTTCTACCTCCTACTGGCTCTATGGCTTTGGCAAGTTATTGAACCTTCCTGGGCCTCAGATTCCTCCACTGTAAAATGGGAATTGTAATAGTGTCTGCATCACGGGATGCCACGAAGATAGTAACTGGGTGTGTGTGCCTGGCATGTCGGTTTATTTCCTCTATTAGTGGCTCCCCTCACTGCTTGAGGAGCCTGGATCCTAGGGGGCCATTTAGTCCTGCATCCTTCTATGAGTGTGAGGGTGTTCTGTTGCTTCAAGACCCTTCCCTGACAGGATGCTTCCTCCCAAACATTGTGGCCCGCTGTAGGTGACTGGGATTGTTAGAAAGCGCTTCCCTTTCTTGAGCCACAATAGGGCTTCCTGTCATTTCTGCTCTCAATTCAGCATTTGTTGTGTCCTGGCCATGGGTTAGTTACTGGTGCCTCAGAAGTGACTCACACACAGGCTCCAGGAAGCTGTGGTTTTGGGGAGGAGTGAGGGTTTATAAGCAGGTGGTTTCACAATGTTGTGGTGCTTGCAGGGCTAGAGGGCCGTAGTGGGTACAACACAGCAAGGTAATCTCTCTTTCTTTGTCTTCCAGAGGTCAGCTCAGGGGGCGCCTGGGTGGCTCAATCGCTTGAACATCCAACTTCAGCTCAGGTCATGATCTCATGGTTTGTGAGTTCGAGCCCTACATTAGGCTCTATGCTGTTAGTTCAGGGCCTGCTTTAAATCCTCTGTCCCCTTCTCTCTCTGACCCTCCCCACTCAGGCTCTCTCTCTCTCTCAAAAATAAACACTTAAAAAAAAAAAAAGAGGTCAGTTGATGCCTTCCTTCTCTCTTCTCCAAGAGAAATACCCTAGGGCCTTCAGCTGTTGCTTCTCTGATGTGGTCCTAAGAACCTCCTCCTTCTGATGGCTCCTCTAGATTGGCTTCTGTTTATCACATCTTTCCCTCTCAAAGTGCACACCCTAGGGCTGAGCCGGATTGTGGGACCCGCTCAGAAGGAGGTCACAGCACCATGATTCCCTGAATCTGTTTCCCATCTGCAGAGAGCTCCTTCCAGGCCGACATGGCTTCACACAGGGATACTCTGTGGGGATCCTGGAGATTGTCTTTCTTTTGCATTTACTGTTTAATGGTGGAGAAGTGTGTAGGACAGTCATATTTGAACATCAAAACTGCAGTGCCCTGCACTGCGGCGGGTTAACAGGCGAGCAGCTGCCGCTGGTGCATCAGTTAGCTAAAAGGCAGCTGCGGGCCTGCAGTTGTTCCGTGCCCAGGCTGGGCAGCCCAGTGTCCTTCTGCTGGGAATCCCACCGGCCAGTTTCCGTGGCTGCCCATGCCAGGAGGGCAGTCCGCCTGGTCCTTTGCTGAAGCCGCTCCCTTGGCCTGGTATCTCCCTGCGTCCTTCTTCTCTGACCAGTGATCCCCTGCCCTCCTAGTACTCTGCTCCTATCTCATTTCCTTGGGGAAGGTTCTGTTCTCTGGGCTCTCGTAGCAGGGATCCCGGTCATAGTGTTTTGGATAGTTTTGCTCACTGTTGTGAGGGCCTGGCCAGATGAGGTGCCAACTAGGTTGAATGGAGTCACTTGGCAGCTCTGTGGGCCTGAGCCAGAGATGCTCTGACATCCCAGGCTGGGGCTACACTGCCCTTCCTCCCAGCCAGAGAGTGGTCAGCCAAGTCCCGCCCCAGGGCCCCTCCTCGGCTTGCTGACAGCCTAGCAGGCCTTCTTAACGGCACTGTATTGCTCTCATGTTCAGTAAACATTTTCAGAAATAATTGATTCACAGAATCTGGACAAGGGGCTCTCTTAAAGTACAAGGAAGGCCTTTGGAGTTCACAGAGAGAGGAAGTGATGGGTGTATTGTAAGCCCAGGCTTTATTGTGAACCTGGTCTTCTGCTAAGCACTAGCAAAAAAAAAAAAAAAAAAAAAAAAAAAAAAGGTAGGTAAAAAAATGGCTACTTAACCTTCAGGAAATTTTCACTGGCCCCCGAGAAACAGTTCAGAGTGGTTTTGAACACCTTGGTAGGCCCCAGGGGTTGAGGTGGCTTCCTGGAGAAGAGTGGCCTAAGCTGGACCAAAAACTTCACAGGGCTGATGGTGAGCAAAGGGTGCAGAAGTAAGGGCACTGGGGAGGCCTGAGGTGGCCTGAGGAGAGGCCTGTCACATAGGAGAGGAGTCAGAGGCCTAGGTGAAGAGTGAGTTGGAACTTGATCCTCTCCTTGCCTGTGGGCCCCCCGCAGGGCGCCTTTTAATTTTTTGTTTGTTTGTTTTTTTGAACAGAAGAGTTTATTTACAGGCACACCCTGTTTTATTGTGTTTTGCTTTATTACCCTTTGCAGATGTGAGGTTTTTTTTTTTTTTTTTTTTTTTTTTTTTTTTTTTTTTTTTTATCTTGCATCAAGTGAGTCTGTGGGTTCCATTTTTCCAACAGCGTTTGCTCATTTCGTGTCTGTGTTGCATTTTGGCAATTCTCATAATATTTCAGAAATTTTCATTTTTATTTTTATGGTGATCTGTGATCAGTGATCTTTGATGTTACTATTGTAATTGTTTTGGGGCTCCACAAACCCCAACTATATAAGATGAATGTTGTGTGCGTTCTAACTGCTCCACTGACCACCCTTCCATCTCTCTCCCTTTCCTTGGGCCTCCTTATTCCCTGAGACACACTATTGAAATTAGGCCAGTTAATAACCCCGCATCGCCTCTAAGTGTCAAGTGAAAGGAAGAGTCATGAGTCTCTCACTTTAAATCAAAAGCTAGAAACAATTATGTTTATTTTTTTATTTATTTATTTTTTTAAATTTTTTTAATGTTTTATTTATTTCTAGGAGACAGAGAGAGACAGCGTGAGCAGGGGAGGGTCAGAGAGAGAGGGAGTCACAGACTGAAACAGGCTCCAGGCTCTGAGCTGGCAGTCAGCACAGAGCCTGACGCGGGGCTCGAACCCATGAACCGCGAGATCATGACCTAAGCGAAAGTCGGACGCTTAACCGACTAAGCCACCCAGGCGCCCCCAATTATGTTTATTAAGGAAGGAATGTGGAAAGCTGAGACAGGCCAAACACTAGTCTTCTTATGCCAAACAACCAAGCTGCAGATGCAAAGGAAAACTTCTTGAAGGAAATGAAAAGTGCTACTCCAGTGAACGCATGAATGATAAGAAGACAACCATATTGCTGATACGGAGAAAGTCTGAGTGGTCTGGATAGAAGATCAAACCAGCCACAATACTACTTTAAGCCAAAGCCCAATCCAGATCAAGACCCTAACTCTCTTCAATTCTTTGAAGGCTGAGAGAGGTGAGGAAGCTGCGGAAGAAAAGTTTGAAGCTAGCAGAGGCAGGTTCATTAGTTTGAGGAAAGAATCCATCTC